TGACTGACTGGGTGTTTTAAAGGGAGAATGAGGGGTTGGAGAGGGGGGTGAGCAGGGGCTCAGGACAGTCAGGGCAGTGAAAACTTACAAATAGCTGGAGGGGGGTCGATCCATGTGAAACCCCTCCCCCCCCAAACCAACGCTGGAGACCGGAGCCCTATCGTCAGATGTCCTCTGGAAGAAATGGTCAGTTCTTTTGGAAGCCTTGCGTTTTCTCCGGCAGGCACTTTAAGGGGGGGCTAGAGTCATCTCAGGGATGCAGCCTTGAGTATGTTAATGTTTGTTCAAGTCTTTATAGGCCAAGCTGGGGGTGTCACTGAGCAGAGGGCTTAGAGGAGTCTAGCTAGCGTTTGATCAAGGAGAGAATGTTTCACCTCTGAGAGGGTCTCGGGCTAGCCAAGGCACCACGAGAGGTGATACTTTGAAGGCAGCACCAGTGGCACTTTGGGCTTTTAAGCACAAACCGTAAGCCCATGACAGTAGCACCAGTTGTGGAAGGTTAATAATAGAAAACAGTTATTGAAGACTTAATACTGCCAGGTGCTGTTCTTAATTTTTTTTTTAATGTTTATGTATTTTTGAGAGAGAGCAAGAGAGAGACAGAGCATGAGTGGAGGGGCAGAGAGAGAGGGAGACACAGAATCTGAAGCAGGCTCCAGGCTCTGAGCTGTCAGCACAGAGCCCGATGCGGGGCTCAAATCCATGAACTGGGAGATCATGACCTGAACCAAAGTTGTACATTTAACCAAATGAGCCACTGAGGCTCCCTGATAGTGTTCTTAAAAAAAAAAAAATTTTTTTAATGTTTTTATTTATTTTTGAGAGAGAGAGAGAGAGAGAGAGAGCGAGCATGAGTGGGAGAGGGGCAGAGAGAGGGAGACACAGAATCCGAAGCAGGCTCCAGGCTCTGAGCTGTCAGCACAGAGCCCGACGCGGGGCTCGAACCCACGGACTGTGAGATCATGACCTGAGCCGAAGTTGGATGCTTAACTGACTGAGCCACCCAGGCACCCCTGCCAGGCACTGTTCTAACCACTTTCCATGATCTATAGGCTCATTTAATCCTTCCTTTCCACCCAACAACCCTCCCAGATAGGTGCTATTATTCTACCCAGTTGGCAGATAAGGACACTGAGGCAGAGAGTGTTAAGTCAGATGTAAGCCCACAGTTAATACAACTAGTAGGTGGGGAACCAGCTCAGACAGGCAGCCTGTGCTCCCAGCCCCACACAATTCTGCCGAATTACAGGCAAGCGTCTTCAGGTAACGCCTCGGGTTTTTAGGATTCTAGACTCAGAGGTCAAGAGCAGCACATAAGCATCCTGCGTGAACTCCTGGAGGAGCTCTGCATCCCCTGCCTCGGGGGACGAGATGTCTGCCAGACAGGCCTCTGTTCTCATGGAATTGCCGTCTTGGGAAGGGTGGAAATGGGCAAGAAACAGGCAGAAAGCATCAGAGGTGCTCCGTGGACTCAGGTGCCGGAGAAATCACCATTCGGAGCATGGTGGGAGTGGGTGGGGGCAGAGGTTGGGTAGTTGGAGATAAATAGGAAAAGTGTCTTTAAAGAGATAGCATTGAGATGAGTCTAGAAGAGTGGTCCTCAAAATTAGTTCACACCCTCTCAACCACCTGCAGCCAAGGTTAGTCAGGACACTGGCCGCGGCCGTGGGCACTAAAATCACATCTTCTCTTGGGTGGGGGTCCTTTCCCACCCTCTGGCCTTTATCCCTGCCTGCTTTCCCCTCAGGGGACCCAGAAGTGTGAGTGAGGCATCAATTGTCCGGTGAGGGAGTAGCTTCCAGATATGTCGCTGCAGATGGGGGCAGCGCGGTCAGCTTAGGCCTGTTCACACGCTCCTGGCCTTGACGTGAGGATTTCTGAGTGCCTCACCTTGGCCCAGTCACTAGCGTGGGCGGGCCTTGATGTTTTCACCTTCCCATAGTTAAAAGGGGAAAGGTCGGGGCGCCTGGGTGGCTCAGTTGGTTAAGCGGCCAACTTTGGCT